ACAATCATTCATCATAGTCAAGATTTCAAAAACACTTTACAACTCATGCGAGGTGCATTTTACGTGGCCACTGCTCTCCTCATCGCAAGTAGCGCCCGCACAGCCCGCACAGCTGCTGAATCTGTCCAGATCAAATATGTAATAACGCAATATTATGACAAGTTGCCAATCGGTGGTTCTGACACAATGACGTTGCCCAGAAGATCTCTTCAAGGGAGTGGAGATCAACTGGAAACACCAGTGGCCGAAGAAGAACGCGTCTATCTAACTAAAATACTCAAAAGTGCAGAAGAATATGTTTCCGAGGCACTTTTGCGGTCAGAGGAAGCCAAGGTGGGAAGTGTGTTGCAAAATTTCAGCAAGCCTCCTCCGATCGTAAACTCGTCATCGACAAACTCGAAGATGTACGCAAGAGACATGAGCAAGCTATCCAAAAGTATGATGCTGCATTGATTCGCAAGATAGAACATGACATGCAAAGTGCCGAATATCTCCAAAAATACCAGAAGAATTTGGCCGAAAAGGCTGATAAATCATCTCGAGCTGATCACCAGACCACAGCCGAAGCAAAAACACACACTCAAAATGGCATCGATGATGCTAATCTCGCTGAGACTTTTCTCGGACAGAGTAAGGAGCATGTTCGTCTTGCTGAAGATGCTAAGTACGATGTTAACATGTCTGTGAGATGGATCAAACGTTTAAAATTTGAGGCTGACACAATTAAAAAATCCATCCCAAATTTTAATGCGGAGGTAGACGCTCAAGTCAAGGAAATGGATCTTGCGTATCAAGAGCTCAAGGTTGCTCAAGCCGATAATAGACCTCTTGTCAACTTCAATTTTCGAGCCACCCTAGCCAAGAAACCCACTTACGCTACCCAAAACTTCAGAGCCGCCCGGCCTGGCTATCATGCTCATTTTGGTATCGACGGTCATGTCAATTCAGCACCGGAGAGCTGGACTTGACGTTGAGCCTTTCCAACTCCCCAAACATAGCGATGAAATTTAAAAGAAAAAGACAACCAGACCAAATAGACAATAATCGCGAAGGTTAGTCAATAGTTCTCAACTTCATGCTGCTATCCTACTACCTGCTAGAAATGCCTTTTCTGATGAGAGATATGATCAGGTCGTTTTATAAGGTATATAATGCCTTGACAAAAAGTTGTTGGCCTCTCAGCCTCAAAATTTGTTGTTGTACTTCCTTACAGTGTTCAATTCAAATCTAGGCAGTATTTTCGACGTATTTTATAATTTGGGTTGTAAATGCGCTTAGCATCCATTTGTGCTGTAGCTTTACATGTTTTGCTGTTACATTTTGTGATCATAACACCGTTTTGCTCGTACAGCATGATTTTGAGGCTCATCACAACGAACTTGCCAGATAATATGACGTGAGACACGCAATCAACTCAATCAATAAAAGGGTTTCTTATAATAAGGTAAGTTTCGAGTATGTTCGTGATACAAAGTAGCGCAAGACTCACCACCACTCAAGCCATTAAGACAGCTTCACATACAAGAATTATAGTATCAACCTCTCAAAATTTGTATATATACTACTATAAAAAAGGAAACACCATTCGACCATTTCTGCGATCGCTAAATTTTGCTATTCAACACTTGGTCCCGAGGGATAGACAAACAGTGTGCTGATGCCCAAACATCCACTTTAATCATAGTAATGTGACAGCGTAGCTCAGAAATTTGCTTTGTTGTTGTAGCGCAGGTACTGCATGGCTAACCGAATGTTTGTCGAACCTTCTGTTTTTCGGCTGGCTTTTTAATTGTGCAAACTAGATTGTTATTTGATTTAACCCTTAATACTTAATACGCATATACCCATGTACACTTTTTTTATGTGCAGGATGTTGCCATCACCAAGTATGATGAGAATACTGCCATGTTGTGTTGTTCGTTCTTAACGAACTTGAAAATATATGTTTATTATGCTGCATGCATTTTGGCTTTCGAACAAGAGTTATACACAACAGGATCTCTCTTTTGCTGTAAGAGTCTTTATGAAGGGGTGAGTCACACAAGATGGTGGGACAACACAATGGTGTAGCTACACCTTAACAAGAAGTCACAACGTATGCATTTTGATTTAGGTTTTACCATTTTACCATTAAATTAGGAAAACCTATGAATTTAGATACAGGTGGCTTTGTCGCAAATAAAACCCAAGAAATACTGTTTTTAAACGTAAGAGTGTATGTGCCTTAAGTTAAGGTTGTGGTAACTGTTGAAGTTCAAGTTAAATACGTCGTATTCTCTGAAAAGACAAATGGATGGTGCTTTCGTTCAATACCACATTGATTACAACCAACACAAACAAAGCGGATTGCGATTCGCTACACCCGTATTGGTTCTAAGTATAGAACGATGGTCATTGACTTTATCTTAGCTTGCTCTGAGCAAAAGAGCTACGGCAGCTCCGCTGCTGTAACAAGATTGCCTTGCCAACAATCTCTTCTTTTGCTTTTTCATCATTTGGGCATTCTAAGCCTTAGTGTAGATTGTATGTCATCCTGGTTCTTCTGTGTACAAAGCGCGTGGTACCATCGTTGCAGATTTGATTTTGATCTAGATAGCGGTAATTCTGGATACATACCTTTTTGATATGACATAGAAACTAGCTCGCAGTTCCACACTGCATAAATCCAACTTGCCAACGAGGATTCTTTGGGTCAATGTTTTTTCTGTGCAAAGTGTACGGCAAACCCTCTTGCGATTAAACTTTTAATCAAGCAGGGAGTCACTGCGTCGGGAAAACCAGAGGAATATGAATACATACCTAGTAATTAGTCACACAGCTACAACAGCGGCTCCTAGCATAATTCACGTTCATATCCTTCCAATAAAAATTCGGTACTTTAGACTTAACATTGCACATCGTGGAGGCTTTCATTTTTTCGTGATTATAAATTAGAAGATGATATAATGCTTCTATTTCGATTTTTTTGTGTAATTCTCATCAATAGGCTTCAGAAACTCGATCTTATTCAAATCGGTCTGAAAGACGTACTACCGTGTGAACCGAGCGGGGTTATATTTTCGCGAGTAAGTTATGATTCACTTGTAATTTGAGTGACCGGAGTAGGCCTATAGGCAGTAAGACTTCCCTCACTACCTTCGACAGAAGCTCACATGAGCTCAAGAATGTCCGATGAACTGCAAAACGGAAAGTTCACAGACATTGTACATTTATTACCGAAGCTCGTCATCTGTCATGGATAATCTGAAATTGAGGAAATTCTCATAGCAATGAGAGCGAGGAGTGGGCAGTCTATTTTAAAAAACCTAAGGATCCTTTTCAATATATGTTAAAAGGATATCATGGCGTGAAGGAAACAGACCCACGCATGCTACAGTTGGGCAGGGGGACGCGTCGGGGTATAGACCTGATTTCGGATATCAAATATTACGTCGGATAGCAACAGACCTTATCAATGGACCAGTGTGACAAACGGAAGGTCGAAGAGAATGAAGTGACATACGATTTTTTTTGCGCTGTACAGAAGCAGAAATTATGTTTGATAAATGAAATTATCCTACACATGGCTGACTTCTATGCCATATATTTAAGCAATAAGTATCATAATTCAAATACTTTGAAAAGCGTGATGGCAGCCAAAATATGGCTCAAACACTAATTTTTAAAAGACATGCTGCAGCCCAGCAAGGGAAGCTGCGCTATTCTTGGTGCCCTGACGTTGTTGATAATTAGGCTTAGCCGCTGAGGAGAGACAGCCAAAACAACTCACTGCGGCGAACACTCCGAGTGGACTTCTCTAAGTGTCGTAGGATATGCCTTTGGTACTGTCTAATGCGCCAGTGACGTCCAGTCATTGAGCAACACAGCTGTTTCGGCCACTGCACAGACCTATTGAAATAATTGTCCGTAGTCGTTTCGAATAAGAAAGCAATCAAGATTAGTCATACTAAACACTGGCGAGCGATGTGCGCCGAAAAATCAATTCGCCAACATAATCAAATGTGTCGTTTATGCCAACATGGACCCCTTTCACGGCTGTTTAATTAGGAAACAGGGCCGTGGACAGATCCCGCAAGGGTACATGACATCGTCGATTCGCCAGTGCTTATGCCCTAAAAGCCTGTGAAAGTTGCCAGACCTGGTAAAATCGTTCATAAGTACAGTGCAAAACAAACTTACATGGCACGATCCTTCACAAATCGTCTTCAAAGGGGAAGTTAGATGACTTGTTCTTGCGACAAGATAGGTACATGTGAAATGTGAACGAAGGCATCGTGCTCTCCCTAGTTCTTGTTATTCCGGTTTTAAATTGACCATTATACCCCATCTATGCCATATCAACCTTTCCAATCGACTATGACTGCTTCAAGCATATGACTACCTGATTGCGTCTGAGTCCCACAAGTTTAAACTGATGAGAAGAATCAATGCGAAGCAGCTACAATCGATGAAGTATGTTTAGATGCATCTGCTCCGTTTGTGATCTATACAGAACATGCATCGTTGCGCGCAGCAGCGTCGTCATGTCACATTTGTCTGACAAAGAATGTCAAGATAGTTGTCATTTTCAGCGGATGTCATCTTCGAGGAAAGCCATAAGCCAAGTGATGACAAATTGCTCTTACGCCAGCCCCCTGAAGAACAATTGTTTGTTACAATGCACATCTCCGGTTGCTTACTAATGGGTACTGTGTACGGGTTAGAGGCAATTCATGTTGTTCCGCTCGAAAGTCAGGAAAGCAATGAGCTTTGAAGCTTACCTCTTGCTAAATCGTAACCCGGAGTCTCATGCCTGCACCGCAAACATCCAACGTCAAGGCTTGCTTTGCTACAGCATTGGCCCACATGACACCCACCGTATAGTGGCGTCGTATGATAAACGTTTAAGATACTGTACATTATACCTCCTTGGGGAAAAAAACTTGGAATTTAAACGACGTGTTGCTTAACGAGTGCACGTCGTTTAAATTCCAAGATTTAAGCACATATGTGCACATATGTGATTCTTGTCGATGTATTAAACCTCGCTGCATGCAATAGGACCTTTTTTGTAGTTGACTTTCCGTCATAGTACTGTAAATCCATCTGAGCAATATTTTCGGTTCTCGAATACGCGTCCAGGTGCTACTGTTTTGCGGATTGACTCAGCAACATAGTCCATCTCGCTGCTGTCAGCTGTATTGGGAACGGCCACAATGTTCTTCGTTAAATAAGTACGTCAACATGACCTAACGAAAGCTATGTAATCGATTAGAGACCCGCGCTGGACAATGAGGTTTCGGTCAACATTATATAAAGTGCTCGGCATCAGATTGGTCAGGTCAACCACTGACCACCCATGAATTGATAAGCAGACGGAACGCATGAATCGTGTAATGCAAACATCTTTTGAATCGCTTGCGCGCAGATAACGAGTGAATTGAAATACTCTCACTCGTTCAGTCTGCGCTGAAAACGCGGTACGTCTCTCAGCAGGTTTTACACCATATGAACTCAGGTTGTGTTTCAGTGTGAACCTCCGGTTGTTTTTCACACCTTCACGAAGTGGCTTCAATATGGAAAGGGAGAGCCTGGGAATCAATATTGACTTGCTGGTATCAGCTAGGCTACGCTTGGTAGCAAAATCAGTGATTTTATTTTGGTATAATTGAATATCATTCGCAGTTTGTACAGCGCTATGATTGAGGCTAAAGAAATCTAGAAGCAACATGTTAATGCCAGAGGCAGCGCAACACAAACGAATATGTTGTGAGGCAAAAAAACTTAATGCGCTACATCATATCATTAATCGCTGTAACCAAATACTGATTTTTATATCACCATCTTGAATTCAAACATCCGTAATCAATATTAGCTTTTAGCATCCACACGACTTTCCACTTTGAAGATTGTGTCGGACGTGAAGTGTTAAATTGTAGACAAAGTATTCTATCTACCATTATCTATAGCTGACAAGCGCTCTGCATGAAATAAGCGGCAATGTTCTGACCTACTGGGGTATCTCGCCTTAAGCTGTGCGGTGGAGAAGCTCGGGAAACGAATTCAAGACTTGGCTCATCGTAGCGTATAGTTATACTCGGAGAGTGTCGACGTGCCGCCACCAGCGGATGAGTCGATCGCCGTAGGTTTTGCTCGATGATAAGATCTGGACGTCCGCAATTTTTATGGGGAAGGTTTGTTGGGCAGGCAGGCCATCAGGGCTGTTAATAGCTTGGTGGAGTAAATGAAATACCCTAAATCAGTAACTTTTGGTCGGTTAAAGGTCTAGTTTGGTAAGATAGCTGGTGCTATGGCCGCTAAGTGCAAGGCGTACCCTTGGCTTTTACGTTTCTTCAGAAAGATGTACAAAGGACTTGCGGTTTTCTTTGCACTCATAATACCTTGACGCTTGAGGTCTGTACTACCAATCTAATAGAATTTGGGTTTCCGCGCTCTACTACGAATGTCCTAAAGGTAATTTACATTACTAATTTGCTACAAATGTCCTTAAGGTAAGTAAGAGTATATATATGATTCATTCTGTTAAAACATATAGTTTTATGTTTCATGATTTCTCATGATGACCCAATCCAAATTTTCTGACCTGCTGCTAGCAACCCACGTGCATCTCGGACTCCACCATTTTGTAGCTTTGTCATCTTTATAAAACGATTGTTTTGAAATTTATATAAATTAACTGTGTAATGTGAATTTGTACGAATGTACCGTATTCTATCCAAATAATTAAAGTCAGATGTATGAAGAAAATTTTCATAATTTCAAACTACTTCCCCTTTTACAAAATGCAGGATCGCTCATCGCAGCGCAATTCCTCCTAGTAAATTGCTTGTTGAGCATGACCGTTGATCGATAACTATATCTGCTGTTGCATAGCGGATGAATTTTACAATTTACTCAGAAACTATTATGAGAGCCTTAAAGTTTCTCTTGTTAAGATTGCTCTCCTTTTTAAGTAATAATTAAAATTAAGAATTAACTTACATTAAAAAATTTAATAAAACTGCGGTACTTTCGCAATTCTAGAAGTTTATATATTGCATAGCGTGGTTCTGGAATTGCATGCGCGCATCGGACCTCTTCACTTCACAGTCTCGTCACAATAATCCATACCAGTACTTTGCTATTTTTGAAATATTCCCAAAGTCTATATGTTAATACTTAGATGTGTACATAGAATATAATTCAAATCGCTCTCCGTTATATCTTAAGCATGAAGATGCATAACATACTAAAGTCACTCTCATTTTTTTAACTTTGCTCAAATTCGCTCTACGATATCATTGAGCATGGGTTTCCTTTCCTTCCGTCGAACCGTACACTACAGGAGTACAATTCTATGTAAGAAGTCACTTTTTTCTTGCTTTCATGACTCAGCCAAAACGATAAGAGACGCGATTATGACGTACGAACCATTCGGTGTGAGGAAGCCGAACGTTTACCAAATTGAGCGAACACAATGAGCGGTAAGAAAAATGTGGCAAGTCTGGGACTAGCGAGTTTCGATCCGCCACTTTTTTCCTCTCAAAGTATTGAATGACATGTCGGTCATTGTTTGTAAGATCTCACCTCAGCTACAAAATTATGTTCCTCCACATGATCTGCAAACTCTGAGTCTGCTTCCTGTCGCCAAGGGTGTTTCTATGCCTGCCACCAACATTACGACGACGTTTAGATCGCAAACAAATGGATTAATGAGTCTAGCTATCACGTGGGTAGATGCAGGATCCTCACGACTGTCGCAGACTCAGTACCAATGTCATAACAGACCTATATATCATAAGCTGCTCCTCGGACCACAGCGGAACCGTCATACGCTTAAGCTTGTAAAATAGTATTATCCCGGCTTTGAGTAAGCTGACAGAGAACAAGGATGTATTTGTCTTCGCTTTTGAATATTGTCCGCGTGATTCAATTATTTTTACGTCACGACAATAAGTAAATAAATTGCAATGACGTCGCAAATTGGTCGTATAGACCGCAGATACAACATGTGTATATCAAACGTTGAGCAACATGTTTTATCTGTAGTAATTTGTGTGTGTTCCGTCTGCCTGTGGCATCCGAATGTAATAATTACGCATCATGTTACTCTGTCTAAGCGCCGAACAATTGGAGTAACCTCATCATCATTATACAGTCGATGTGTTTGATACTGAATGCAGCCGTGTCAAATTTGGCAAGGCGTATCATATCGACAACCCTACCAATAGTGTCAAGCGAGGGCGAAGGATCATAAAACCAATTTAAAATGGTCTGAAGCCTCTAACGGCGTGATCTGCGTCATTCAGCCTGAACCCAGAGACAATATAGGAAAAGCTATATTTCGCTAGCCTTATACAATAATATATACCAGGTAGCTCATGCATTTCGTCTTGCCACCTTTGTAAAGAGATTAAGTGGTACATGTATGTTACATCGCTTAAACATATTTTGTTTGAACACCGTTTGTATAAGAGGGTTTCGATCGAAGAAAGTGACCACCAGCAAGCCATAAAACGGATGTTTGTATTCTTTCTGGTAACATTATCGCTGCTAGCACCGTCATGTAGCAGGTGTTTTTTCCAGCTCAGCAATTCTAGTGTTTCTTCGTATAACATAGCAAAACGACTGGATGTCATTCGACAACGTGGAAGTTGGCGGCAAACTGAGCTTTCTAGCTCAGAGCAGAAGGAGTTGAAGAAACAGACACATGACAGAGACATGATGCTTAGATGGTACACAACGCCGTAGTGTCCAACGAGACTTTTGATAGGAGCGTTCACATTGCGAGCAATTTGGGCATCGGCAAACAGTAAGATGGCCTTGACGTATGGTGCAGAAACTTGGCCAACCGACAATCTTTGCGCATGCCATATAAGTATTTCATACTTCTGAAAGCTGGAAGCACGAGTATCTCACGCTAAAAGTCATATGACATGTCGCTACCGATTTGGTCGCATAAGTCAGAATTACGTACCACGTACAGTATCTTGAACGTAATGAAGGTACCACTCATGCCAAGAGCCGCGCATGAAATACGACAAATTATAGTCCAGACAATGTGGGTGCACACCAAGCACATCATTCTACGCTGTCTTATACATTAGTACAAAGGAGATCATAGCAAAGAACATTTATTTAGCAATTCTTGGTGAAATTTGCGGTGCCGATGTTGTGGCGCGCAAAATGAGTTATCGGTGTTGGTCGTAGATGTCTAGAGCCCGTGGGGTGATCGTAAAATTACAAGATCATTCTCTATAGAAAAAAGCTACTTGTAACATGAGCTGAATATGTATTCTCTGCCGCTTTCAGCTGGCGAGGCTTAATCTCAATGCTGCGCTGATACCCATCTGCAATAAAAGTACAGTCAATGGCAAAGGCAAAGGCCGAACTATCATAGTCATTATTGCGGTCAAGGATTTGACAGTGCCGAGCGAACCGTGCCGAAACCGAGCACAAGTACTCTAAAACAACTTAGATGCTGCACCCCAGGATGCTTAGGAAAGCAAATCATTTTTTTACGCACTACGCACTATTCAAAGTATATCCATCACAGCGTCTGCACAGAAACTGTTTTGCGAGAGATGACTCCTATAGACATATAGGTTCTTCTATCACTTTTATTACCGAATAGCAGAATTTTTCATTCAATTTCTGTAAGTTTTCATACTTAGCACCTTTTGGCGTCGTTTTGAATCCATAGGACCACATTATAAACGGGTTCGTATGTAACGAGGTTTCACATACCCTGGTAACATGGGTGTATTTCACACCAGATGGGCATGGTGTGACCACACCCATACAAGAATACGGCACGGGGCCGAATAGCCAGTTGTTATACATTTATTAAAATTCTAATTTATATATTTAGAAAATCTATGCATTTTAAATTAGGCAGCTTTGCCGCAGAAAAGCGGGTTGCGATCCGCTAAACTCGTGCTTGTTCTGAGTATAGAACGAAAGGTCGGTATCAAAGTACGCTTCCTCTAAGCGCAAAGCTCCGGCAGCCCCACTGCACTTGGGAGCACTCGTACTCAATCTACACCTGCGTCGTTACGACTGATCGTCAGTGAGGATGGAACAATTTTCCTTTTTGCCCCAGGGCAAGCAGGGCGGGCTTAAAAAACTGATGACGTTGCTTCGCTCTGAGGGCGTGCAACACCTTGCTGCGCTAGGCCCTGAGGCAATCGGTGCGCGTCTAGAAGCGTTTTCAAGTTACGAAAAGGCGCTGCTAGAACACCTGCAGCAGAAGATGTCTCCATCATTTGCGTCTATGACGCCATCGTTAGTGACGGAGTTTAGTGACGGAGTTTCCTCCGCCCTAAGCCGCTTATGATGAGCGTTAAGGTCTTCGAGATGATGGATGGAGAGAATCGCCTGCTCTGGGTGAGAGAGGTGAGATGGCCACAGCATCCGCCACGCTCCAGACCGAGCAACAGCGCGTGGCGCAAGGTCGGTGGTCGAGCCCGAGAATGGGCATTGACGTAC